AATAAGGTTTTCGACACTGAAATGACATCGCTAAGTAAATTTTATCTGCTACATTATAAAGAGCACATTTTTCGACACTGAAATGACATCGCTAAGTAATTTTATCTACTACACATTATTAAGTGTCATTTCCATTGCCTGAAAACATCCATTTTTCGCTTGCATAAATAAGTCCACTATCAAATGCAAGATAAAACATTGCTAGCACAAACAAATAGAAGATAAACATTGCTAGCACAAACAGAGGCGAATCAAAAAAGAAATAGGGAATGTAAATGAGATGAATAATGAAGGGGAGTTTCTATGATTTGAGGTGATTCCATTCACAAATTTTGGGAGATTACATGATTTATACATCTAAAAATAATAAACACCAATTATCTGAAGAAAACCAACTAAAGTAAATACAAAATCATAGGTACAGGCAAAACACATGGCATAAGACTGAAAATGAGCTGGGAGATGTTGAGCACCATATGAATGGAGTAATATGAATTTATTTTGATAGTTTATTATAAGGATCACAAAATCACTGGCTGTAGCCTCTATCCTTCAAAGCGGGCCACATAATAAAGCTTTATATATGAATAGGTGCAAAAACAAAAGATCAAAGTGTGACGGTTCACATGTCAGGTGTCGAGACAAAATTGGTCCTGTATATGCTTTCATGCATCAGATGCAGTAAAAAGAAAAGCATCCAGATAGTGCTCCTAATTAGCTTTGGATAGCTTTTAGTGGATCTGATCATTATAACATGTTGCCACATGCAGAAATACACAAATTTTAATATTGAGCTTAGTTTTCTGAAGTGCAGAACCTATACCTTGTGAGCATGGTGTCACAAAGACCCTACAAAGGAGACCCCTCATTATTCCCAAACCCACTGAAATGCCCATTGACCTACTTCGGCAAGAGATACAAATAATAGAGCGATGCAATCAAAACAAATGTTTCAAAACATAAACTCAGTTTGGGACACATCTCAGTCTTCAGAAAAACACACCTGGTCTTATCCCATGCAAGAAGGATGTCCTTGAGAATATTCATTGATTTATTAAAATTTTATTAGAATAAGATATTGTACTTGGGATTATCTGTGTGCTCTTTAAGACTGAAGTAAACGTTTAAGACTTCATGGGATAAAACAACGATGTTCTTAGAGAATATTCATTGATTTATTAAAATTTGACTAAAATAAGACATTGTACTTGGGATTCATCAGTGTCCTATTTAAGACTGAAGTAACCGTTTAACCATTTAAGACTTGATCAAGTTCTTAAAAAAATGTAAGCTCCTCATAGCAAGTGTGCTCGTCCAGAGTCTTCCATACAAGTTTGTAAACACAAAGTGAAACTTAAAAGCATCAGAACATTTTATAAAAATAACTTTTTAAGTATTCAAAAGCCAAAGAAGAAAAACTAACAAAGGAAATACCTGCTCAAAAGTTACTTGATACATCAAGGCAAAAGAACATTTTAAGTATTCAAAAGCCAAGAAGAAAAAATAACAAAGAAAAATAAGGGTTCGAAAGATCCTTCATACATCAAGGAAAAAGGTGGCCGATTATCTCGTGCTCCACTTGTCCCAGATAATGTCCTTTGGCTATAAGAATTGGTTACAGAGGGATCAGTTGGAACAATTACCGTAACAAAATGGGAACTTTAAAAAATTGTTAATAAATTGATGCATGAAAGCCAGCATGAAATTAATTGTGCATTTGGATCCAATTTTTTGCAAAAATAGTAAGTATATGCGGATTGCCAATATAGCACGTGATAATGAAGGAACTGCCATTAAATTGTTCCATTAATTGTGATGAACAATTTCTAAGGGGGAGTATTTTTCATCAAACATTCAGTCATGGAGAGGCATGTCATTTCAAGACGTGTGATGTCTTTGACAGTTGAATACTAGACCTTACTTTGAGATGCAAAGACATGCCATGCATGTAAAGATAGGTCATGTTCTTGTGGTGCCATGCTTTTTGACAGTTGAATGTCAATGCACAGACAAGAAGGGGAGAGGCTAAGAATATTTCAATCAAGATGTTAGCAATATTAAATGTGCCTCTTGAATAGGGCATCCAATAATAAAGAAAAAAGCAATGTTGATGGAGATTGCCCAAGAACATGAAACTATTTTCTTTTTGTAGGAAGATGACAATATTGTTAGTTGATAGTAAAAGAACAAATGCAATGGAGAAACATAAACCAAACATAGTATAACTTGAGGGACTGCCGGAATTCATGGATCAGAAACTCATGATGTGAGGACCAAAGTGTGGGCTCCAATAGAATTACATTAAGGGGAAATGGCCTATGCCATTTGATAATGGGCAAGTGGCCTATGCCCTTTCATAATGAGTTCTGCCCTTTGATAATGGCCAAATGGCCTATGCCCTTTGATAATGAGTTATATGATGCACAATATTACACCTAGGTATTGAGGTAAAATAGTGTATATGCAACTTTAAGTATCACTTGTTTCACATCAATGATTAAAAACTTGATTTGATATATGAGTTATATGATGCACCATATTTGTTTTTTTAACTACGTGAATTCAAGTATATTTACCATTAGTCTCCTCTAATATTTCAAGTTAAAGTTAAAATTAATAGCAAGTTCTGAATCCTTTTAACATTCTTCCAATTTCCTAATTTGAAAAGGAAAATATTGTAGTTGACGTTCAAATGGATCTACAATTTCCCTTTTTAGGATGATCTTCAACTTTAAAAGTTTGAAAATTGAAGTTAAATGGTATTTGGAATAAAGAATTCATACGGTTATCCTATTCACATTCAAAGCATGGGTACGACACATAAATAAAGTATGTAATAGAAAGGGCATCTTTTACAAATAAAATGCCAAATGCATGTTATTCTTTAATAATTATATCAAAATATACAAACTCTATGACTCAAAATATACAAACTCTATGACCATACTTTTAAAAATTCTAATTCTTTAGAACTACATGAGATATTAAATGTAGTTATATATTAAAATTTACAATTAAAATAATAATAATTAAGATACCAATTTAACTTGAGGATGTCTTTAGTAGTTATAACATATTACTAATAAAGTAATAACAAAGTAAATATGTTTTTTAATTATAAATATTTCAATATGTATTTATTATTATTACAATTTTATTACTAATAATATAGTAATTCATGTATCATGACAATAATAAGTATAGTTTCATTAATTATATAATTATAAAGTACATAAAATTATTAAAATTAGAATAAGTTATTATTAATATATTGAACTAATAAAAATTATATTATATGAATTTATTATAATTGATTTAAATTTAATAATTTAAGTTATTATAGGTAACTATTTTAATAGTAACATTAGAATCAACGTTAATAATGTGATTATGAAATTATAATGAATATTACAACAACAAAAGCCATTACACAACATCTATGAGCGAAAATAAACAGTGTTTTGCCCATAGGCTCAGTGCCATCCGATTTTTTTGGATGGCGTGGAAAAATCGACGCATCAGATATACTATGTCCATTGCAATACAGTCGATTTATCACGTGAAACTGCAACGGCTCTACAAGAGCTGTTGGGACTTTTTAGGCCAAACCACAATGCCTTGCAGCTTTACGAGAGCCGTTGTGGGGCAAAAACACTGTACACTTTCACCTATTGTATTTTTAAGACTTTTCTTAAAACAATTATGTAAATATAATTAGAATCATTGATAAATATTATGAATACGTTTTATATGTAATGCACTTTCCCATTGAAAAATCACATAATTATTTAGGTGATCGCTTAATGTATATCAAAATACTATTTCATTGCATATTTATGAAATTATTTACATAAATGTTTGAAACATATCTATATACTCTTGATTACGTATTTACGTAATACATATCTACACACTCTTGATTACATATTTACGTAATTATTTATATGATCACTTAATTCATTTCTATGTATAACGCACGTGATCCCACTAGAGGCAATCTTGCACGAACTTCACCCTTTTCTTAATCTCATAAACGTAACGAAACCTTATTCCAACAAGAGATTCCAACTTTTCTTAAGGTGGGAAAATGATATCAAGGGAACCTTTGTATGGATATTGAAAAGCTATCGGAGTAATAATGAATGAAATTTAAAATATGACTGGAAATTAAAATAATGCACAGACATTTAAATCAAATTTATTTCTAGCACTGTACGACGGATTTGCCATTTGATAGTAGATGAGAACCCAAGAAATAAGCTCTCAAATGAAATAATTAATAAAACTTAGAAATCTTTATCAAATACAAGTCACTTATGTCTAGTGTTCCGGGACTCGGCCAAATCGACTCTAACTCAGCCCGAGCACCTTGCATAGGTAAGTTTATGCGACCAAATAACCTCTTTAAAGTCTCTTAAAAAACAAAAATTTTGTTATAAAAAAATGAATATGTGATCTAAAAATATGTTATGCACGCTTTTTATGTTTTTTTAATGATGATTTGTGAATTTTTTTCATTATCTGCTTTAATTTTTCATTTTCTTTTCAAAATTTTCTCAAATATTTAAAGGTATAAAACGATTTTTTTCAATGATCTATCTTTCATATAACGTTTTCATCTTTGTAGGCTTTCAGTGATCTCTATTACTTATTTTATTTTTTCACTATTTTTTAATTATTTTTAAAAATTCTTTTACAAAACTTTAATTCTAGATTTTTGGGCCTATTTTGGTGTTGTATAGGACTTGGTTGAACCCACTCATATTTGGCCGAGTAACTTGGCCCTATCAAGGGTTGACTCTGAGGCCCGAACTGAAGCCTCAAAACATTACTTATTATGTACATGATTGAAATATTGAATAGCTACTTATTTGGTTAATATTTGTTCCATGGCAAGAACATCATTGCTCATATCTTTTATTTTTTCTTGATATTATTCATTGCCAATATCGTTATGATGCGCATGTTCTACTATATGAAGTACTCCCAAAAATAAAACAGTCCAAAAACGATAGACATTCTCAACTTAATTTCTTAATAATCTTATGTTGTTATTTAGGTATGTTAGAGAGATTGTATTCAAGTCTTGAAGGCATGTTGGTACTAACAATCACACTAATAAGTGTGAGTAATATAAAATTCTGCTCGTGGAAAGTGTGGCCAGGGAATTGATTGGTTGTTTTGATGTGATTAATCACTTTTATGAAAGAAAGTATATTAAAGCTCAAGCTTCAAGCTTTATGTAGATCTTGAAAAAAAAATGGAGATCCATCTCAAATGATATTTAGAGATACATCGAAGAGAGAAAGAGAGTTGTGCTATGATATAGTTAAGGTATCGGAGGAGACCTCTCTTTATTTTATTTTTTTATTTGTAAAAAAATTATAGATTAAAATGATTTTTGGTTATAGGGTGTCAAGCTTTCTAGTGTAGAGGTTGATGGCTAATGTGGAGGAGATTTGTTTTCTGGTTTCGTTCTATAGGGTGTAAAAGCTTTCCATAGTTGAGGTTGATTCCTTAACGCTCCAAACAAAAAGTAAATTTGCATGGCTTCCATTGATAGGGTAACAAGAGGTAAATTTGCTCCTTCCCTATTTGTATGGCTTCCATTGATAGAATGTTTTGTATGTTTGCATGGCATTGATAGAGTGTTTTGTATGTTTGCATGGCTTTCTTTTCATAGGGTGTGAAGATTTGTACAGAGGTTGATTCCTTAACACGGTAAACAAAAAGAAGAGGTTGATTCCTTAACACTGCAAACAAAGATGAACTTCGCAGCTAGACCATTGATAAGAGTGTTTTGTATGTTTGTATGGCTTTCTTTTTTCATAGGTTTTCAAGATTTGTACAGTGGTTGATTCCTTAACACGGCAAACAAAAGAAGAGGTTGATTCCTTAACACTGCAAACAAAGAGGAACTTCGCAGCTAGGCCAGTATCGCTCTTGTATTGCTGTACGGAGAGTATTGGCTGATAGGAACAATGGCTACACGCGAGAGTATTGGCTGATAGGAACAACCCATACACGAGTATTGGCTGATAGGAAGTATGATTTGTCTGATAGGAAGTATTGGCTGAGACAATGAGTAATACTTCGTTTAAGTATGGTTCTTGAATGTTTTGCTCAAAAAAAATAATACTTATCAAAAAAATAATACTTATCAATATTGGTTATTTCAGTTGGTGTTAATTCTATTTTATAATTATTATAATGTCTTGATTTAGAAATAAAATTTAAAATTTTGAATATTATCAGAGACGTGGGTGATAGAGAGGTTTGGGGGAGCGAGAGGTTTAGATTTATCAGAATGTTTTGTTTGTCAGGTTATTTCAATTGAGGTTAATTCTCTTTTATAATTCGTTGTAATGTACTGATTTAGAAATAAAATTTTGAATATTTAGAAATAAAATTTTGAATATTATCAAAGAGGTGCTTAAGAGAGAGGGGTTTAGGGGAGACATAGGTTTAGAGAGAAAAGAAAAAAATAGATAGAATTGTCATCTTAAATTATGTTTGGGCTAAGATTATGCTGTCAAAATGGGTTAATTGGTCCTGGGTTAGAAGATATATTATTTAGAATCCCTGTACTGTCAAAAAGTTTTTAAAATTGTACACCGTATACTCTAGGTTTTTTGAAAAATGGTACACCCTATACACAAAAATATAATGCATAGAGATATTTCCTTTTTTAGTAATAATTAGTTTGTGTAACTATGAATTCTATGAATGTGACTAGGAGGAGAATTTGGGTTCTAAATAGTTGATGAGGATGTCTTGATGGTCCATTTTTTAGAAATATCATAATTTGAGATCCTTTTGGATGTAGGTGTAATGTGCCATTGTAATAGTTCCCTTCAATTTTACAAGCCTTTTTATCTTTTTATTTCAATTGTAATAAAACATGGTTATCATTATCTTCATCGTAGCATTTTTTCAATTAATTGGGGGTCAGCTATTTGAATTCTGATCCGCCATTCTACTCGCATATCCTAAAGTGAGATCATAAGTCTCCATATCTTTTCTTGCTACTTCTAATCATGTCCTTTTGGATCTACCTCTTGTCTTTTTTTACCCTTTCATTTGAATTAACTTGTACCTCATAATAATTGTTGTACTGGCAGTGTAGGAAAAACCAAATTGGAATGGTTAACTGGACATGAAGTTGGAAGCGGTTCAACTAGCCTAACAGGTAAATCGGCTGGTTCAACTGGCCTAACCAGGCAAGTCCCCGGTGGTAAAAAAAGTGTTAAAAAATAAAAAACTCTAAAAAAATCTAATAAAATATGAAAAATATATTTAAAACATGATTAAACAAAGCACATCCAAATGAATTTGAAAACTAATAAAGAAAATGAATTTTAAAAAATTGATTTGCACATAGGGGTATTTTTTGAAAAAAAAATTCAAAAATGGGAAAATGTAAAAATAATAATTAATTTCCAAAATAATTTTCAATCCCTTATTTTTTGGGATTTTATATAATTGTTTTGAATTGCTTTCAAAATAACCTGCCGATTCACCAATACTGGCCAATTTACGATTTAAGCCGCCCAATTTTTCCTACACCGGTACCGGGTCTATGCCACACATGGCCACCCACTTAAGTTTATTTTCTTCTACCTTATTGCCTATTAGTGCCACACATATATTCTCACGAATGTATTCATTTTGAATTCTATCCCTGCTTGATTTACTATGCATCCATCTCAACATCTTCATCTTAGCTACACTCATTTTATGTATATATTATTTCTTGATAAAGCATAGCTAGCTAGTCTCACAGTTTTCTTATAGAACTTGCCCTTCAGCTTCAGGGGTATGCAGCAATCGCATAAAATATGCTTATATATTAATAAAATAATGAATAGTCAACTTAATAAAACATGGGTTAATGTATTACTAGAGCAATGATTATAATAATAAATTGTGTTAATCAACTCCATTCACTTGTACATTTCCCTTTATCCTAATAAGGCATCAGTAATTAAACCAAATGGAAAGAAAAAGACCTATTCATTTATATAAAACATGAAATTCAGCATTATTTGATATTACCTGAAAATTCTAATCAATTATCCTTCCTTTGGCTTTTACTATTGAATTTTTTTGTTTCCGAAGTAAAGGATTACTGTTGACGGTAAGGTTGTGGGTCATCGCAATAATTAATAACGTCCAAATTTATGCTAAAAGAAGACCATTCAAAAGTTACTACCAAACTAAATTAATAATATGTTGGGTTTTCTAATATAATGAGATGTTAAAATATAATGAGATGTTGATTTACGGATTTTATTATGGGAAATGTTTTTATACTTCCCCTACAACATAGAAGATCTATGGTTTCCCAACCATCCAGCCGTCCAATTTTGATCAAGAGAGCTACTCACCGTTTGATCTTAGATCTGATATCTCAAAGTTTTTTATTTTTATTTCTTTTATACAAATTATATGAATATGAAATTTGGTACGTGCCATCTTTTGGGAGGAACCCATAAAAAATATTTAAAATAAATTTTTGATAGAATATAATGACCAAAATACCCATTTTATTTCAGAGGTATTTTAGCCATTTTATTTTATTGGAAATATTTTGTTAATATTTTTTTCTAGTACGAGTTTAATAGATGATTGGACCTACAAATTAAGTGTTAAAATAGTTTATAGAAAATAAATTAAAAATAAAATAGTGTAGAGACGTGACATTGTGATTGGGGCAATCTTAGCCCTCCATTCATAATGGACGGTTGGATAAGGGAAAGTATATAAGTTTTATGTTGTAGGGGAAGCATAGAAATCTTGCCCTTTTATTATTAGGTGGTGGTGCTATTTGTGATAAAATTGGAGTGGAGAACTTAAAAAAGATCACATCAGAAAATATAATTACATCTTCTAATACAAAAACACACTGCCAAGCACAAGGAGGGGTCGATGACAGCTTGCCTGGAAGGAATGCAGCTTCCTAGGAAGCTTGATGCAGAAATGAAGCAAAAACTATTAATGATGCTACTAGAGCTACGGTTAAGCCAGGATGTCTGTTATGGTACTATTAGGATGATTGTTAACAGTAGGATTACTTTAATCACTTGGGGATGTTTGTTAATAATACGATGTTTTGGTACTCTAAAACTGCTTTGATCTCATTTGCTGCTTTGATCACATTTACTGTGATCACATTTGTTAACAATAGAATTGCTTTGATCACTTGGGGATGTTTGTAAATAGTAGGATGCTAAAATTGCTTTGATCTTGTTGACATTGATCTCATTTGCTGCGTTAATCTCGTTTACTTTGATCACATTCGCTAACGATAGGAGATTTTGGTACTCTAAAACTATAGGATATTTTGGTACTATAAAACTACTTTGCCTTTGTTTCTTGGGATCTATTGATGATGTTTGTTAACAGATTTGAAATCTTGGCTTTGATCTCTTGGGGTCTCTTGGGATGTTTGATAAGGGTAGGATGTTTAGATACTTCTGATATCTTGGGCATAACAAGTGATTTGATAACTTGGGGATGTTGGTAAACCTTTGGGATCCTTGGGAATGTTTGTTAAGGTAGGATGTTTTGGTACTTCTGATATATTGGGCAAGATATCTTTGGGATGTTTGTTAACCGTAGTATGTTATGGTAGTGCTTTGATAACTTGGGGATGTTGGTTAACAGTAGGATGTGTTTGTTCATGTTCTGGTGGTGCTTTGATATCTTGGGATGTTGGTAGATGTTTTGGATGTCTGGTACTCTTAAAACTGCTTTGATCTCTCAGAAATATTTGTTAACATACTCTAAAAACAACAATTCAGATGTCAAGATACATTCCCAAGAGATCAAAGTAATTTTAGGGTATCAAAATATCCTACTCTCAAACGAGATCACAGATATCAAACGAAAGATACTGAAGTAGTTTTTGAGTACCAAAACATGCTACCACAAGCATACATTCCTTCAAAAAAAAGTTAAAAATAATGTATAAATTCTAAACGTGGAACCAAACTAAAAATAACATTGAAGAATCCAAATAAGCAGAAAAATGATTAAAAAAAATTTGATTTAGAAAAAATTGATTTACGTTAGAGACATTTCAAAAAAACCCAAAAAGAGGAAAATACAAAAATGAGGCATTTGATGATAAAAATTCATTTCATTATAAAACACATAGATGTTGATCCCAATAAATTCATATAATTTTTATTTTTTATCATTATAATATGCCCTAGTTGTACCTAGGTAGTTGATTTGGCCAGGTGCCGAGTCTGAGTAGTTTCTACCCATGGTTTTTTGGTAATTCATTGAAGCATCGACGTCAAGACATTCAAATGCTTTCAAGCCAGCACCGTATTTACAAGAAAATTCAGGATCAATACACTTTTTCGGTTTTTCCCTTACCCTTACTATTTGAGGTAGAAAAAAGTTTAAATTGATTTTTTTTCAGCTAAGTTTGCTTGGCTCCTTCATGTTTCACCCAATTTCAGATGAAAAAATTGGCTTTATGGGCCCATCCCAAGCCAATATCCAATGTTCTCCTGCCTTGCCCTCAACGGCATTGGCGTTATCACCAATCTCATGCCCAATATACTCAAGCCCTCAACGCCATGTAGAAGGGAGTTTACTCATAGCTATCATCATAATCATCCAAGCTTTATACCAACTATTATCACAACATCACAACATCAGTAATCCAACTCGAGTGGCATAATGATACATCACCATTGACGCATTGAAACCTACAGTTAATTTCTAACATCCATCCCCATCCTGAGATCTCCATGAAATTAGCCACTTCAGCCAACATAGAATGCATCATATTCGTCCTATAGACCAAACTACCGCACACAGTTGAATCAGATACATCACCATTGATGCATTGAAACTCGCTGTTAATTTTTTAACTTCCATCTCCATCTCAACTTCCTGAGGTCTTCATGTCATTAGCCACTTAAGCCAACATGGAATACATCTTATGCATCCCATGAACTGAACCTTTGCTGGCAGTTGAATCAACACCATACCCATCAACCAAACTACACCTGGCCTTTTCTCCAAAACTCTGTTCTTGATCATCTTCTTCACTTCCTCAAAATCTTCGAAACTCCGTTCTTTATCATCTTCCTCGCTTCCTCAAAATCTCAGAAACTCTGTTCTCTATCATTTTCCTCACTTCCTCAAAATCATTCCATCTACCGTTCATCATTTGAAATATCAATCACCATTGAACACAAGCCTAGCACGAATGCAAGCACAAAGGGCGGAGAGAAAGGTGGCTTCATTAGGCTTTCACACCCATCTTTTGCATTTGGTAAACACATATCCAGAGCCTGCCTCATGTTTAGGGTCAGGAAAACAAAATAAGGATTTCAAATGAATTGAGTGCATGCTGCTAACCTTGAAAAAGCAAAGGTACAACCATCATTTTACTTGGGCCATTTAATTAGAACAATGATGATACTACGCTAGGAACTTGGAACAAGGTTTTCAAATGAAAAGGAGAAAAGTTTGAGCCCGTTAACCTAAACAAAAAGAAGTTTGAGCCCGTTAACCTAAACAAAAAGGTGTAGAATAGTTATTTGCTTGACCCAATTAATTCAAGCAAGATAGTGATATTATCCATCCATGTTCAGAGCTGAGATCCCAAACTAAACATTACCATTTTACAATAGTGATATTTAAGTTTTCTACCTGAAGAGGTTGGAGCATAACAGTAATTCATATCCAGTCTAATGAGTTTTGAAGTTTAAACAACTGAGGGTTCGTTAGTCATTGAACTCGACATGAATAACCCAACTTGTTTTGTATTAGGAACCTTAGACAGGATATTTTAATAACAAATACAATATATTCCAGATTTGAAATCTAAGCCAACAATATTCATATCATTTGGGTAGGGATGCTCAAGTGGGCTAAAATACAACAATGTCCCTACTTATTAAAGATTCACAATCCTAAACCTTGGTATCAATTGACTGATATGATCTATAAGAGTAACCAAAGTAGATGATTTGATCACCTAAATAATTTTTTCAGGTATCTTGACCATTATAGTGATATATTTTATTTTTTAAAAAAGATAGAATTGGGGGTTACTTCTGCGCCAAAAAACTGTGTTCTTTGTAGAGAATTATGGGTTTGGGGGTAAATGTACACTTCAAAGCACTGTGAAAATATTATGCCTAAAAGCCATTTTTGTCAAAATACAAAATGTAAAATTAACGTCTATAACACGGCAAAATTTTCCCAAACTTCCCAAACTTTTGCTACATGTAGGTCACAACCCAACCTCACAAAAACAATCCGGCAAAGCAGACCCTCTGCCCACTGCATAATCATCCTTATGAGCCTCCCACAAAGCCTTAACAAGCTCTCTCTCTTTAAGTCCATTAAAAACTGCCTCTGCAAATGCCTTCCTATTAAGGAAAAGTGTTTTCGAAAAAACCCATCCCAGCTCTCATTGCAGCTACCATCTTATCCATGTTTCCGAAATAAGTGGCGACATAAGCATCACTATGTATTGATACATAGTAATCCAAAGCAGCTTTTGTGTTACCATGCATCTCTAAAACCTTATCTCCAAGTAGCATCGATTTTGCATAGACATTCTTATACACAGAAGTGAAACTGTCTCTCTCCAAAAGACCGTCGCCGGAAGCTAGATAAATGTTTGTGTTGGTTGGGATATTCAGAGCTTGTAGAATAAAAGCCGTTTCTTTCGGGGTGAGAGGGCACTTTCCACGTTTTCTCCATGTGCGAGCAACATCACCCGTCCAGGGTTTTCTATCTCCTCGAGTTGCATCTATGGCTTCCTTTGAGAAGGGAGAGAGGCCAGAATACTCACATTGGCTGTAAGCCACCATGTCAGGTTCAAACCTTAGGTGAAGGGATAAAAAGGGTTTGGGTATGGCTGCGAGAAGCTTGGAGCCTTTGTTTTCCAAGGACTTAGTGAGTTGTAGGGCCTTGTAGCAAGCTTGGCAGAGGGCTACCTTGGCATAGAAAGGATACCTGTGGAATGTAGAAAATAGAAAATTGAAGTTACTTAGTACACTTCTCAAGAAAGAGAACACATCTGAGAGTGTGTGTGTGGGTACGTGCCTGTGTAAATGTGCATGCACATCTGTGTTTGAGAGAGAGAGAGAGAGAGCATGTGTGTGTACGGCCATTTGGGCCGAGCCAATCAAATAAGTTCCTTTACTCCCCTTCCATTTAAGAGTGCATATACAGCAACAGTTTGGTGCAGTCAGCTATTCAAGGGTACAGACCTTTTTTGGAAAATGCCACAAAATGCTCACTCACTCTCTGAAGGAAAAAAATCTGTTTTCAACTCAGTTCCAAGGAACACTGTTTGGGCCATACTAACACAGTTGCGCCATATAGGCATGTCTTTGATTTTGTTTGTTTCATCATATATATAAGAAAAAAATTATATAGGATGTCAACTTTATACTATTAAAGTAAGGTGCACCTCAAAAATCCACTAGAAGAGGGTGTTCTGATGTTGGAAAACCGTCCAATTTGATCATCTTCACCTCAAGATGCATGGGTATGAACAAAAATAAATTCAAGTCCTAAAAATAGTGCAGCTCATAGAGAAAGGAGATGAACCAAGATTTATCCTTCAAGAAATAATGGTGACCCGCTCTGCTCCTCCTCCCCCTCTTGCTCCTCCCTCCTCCCCTGTTGTTAACCGGCCCTCCGGACATCCCCCTGTTGTTTCCTCTCCTCCTCTCTATCGAACCTATGTGAATATCCTTAAATCCTGGCCTGCCAAGTCTCCCTCCTTTGCTCAGCCTCCATCCCCTCTTCCCCACCCTCATCCCCTTCCTCCTTTTGGCATCCACCCCTCCCGCTTTCTCCCTCTCCGCCCAATCCCCCCGACCGATTCCTCTCTTCGCCTTGGCACAGCACTGGTCGAAAAGTTCTCCCCCTGCAGAGACAACATCCCTAGCATCGAGACGTGGGCCAAATCGTGCAGGAAAGATTACGAAGTTACCTGCAGAAGGCTGCCGGAAGGGAACATCCTCTTTGTCTTTGACTCTCACTTTGCGTCTTCAACCGCCCTCCAAGTGCACCCTCCCCCTTTCAAAGGCACCAATATTTCTCTTCGCCCTTGGTCTTCCTCTGCTTCTGCCACTCATTCTCAGAAAGTATGGCTTTGCGTTGACAACATACCCCTCCATGCTTGGCACCCCCTCTCTGTTCAGACCATCCGTTCCAAGTGTGGTAATTTCGTCTCCACCAACTGCAAATCCCTAGAATTTCTCCTTCTTGGATCCATTGTTCTCTTAGTAGAGGTTCTCGACCCTTGCTCCATTCTCGATTCTCTCTAGATATGCATTGCAGGCAAATTGTTTCTTATCACAATTTCTTGGTACCTTGCTTCCCCCTCGGCTCTCTCTGCTCCACCTTCTTCCCTGCCTCCATCTGAGCCTGCCCCCACTTGTCCATGGACAGTGGTGCACCGGAAAGGCATCGCCCACTAGTCTGGGGTCGTTTTCCTCCTTCGTCGATCCCCCGGGTCTCTCATCGATGGATTGCCGGGATTGCACAATCTCTGTGCACACATCTTCTTCCCATCATTGAATGCTAGCCGTTGAGCCGCCTCCTGTTAGCCGTCATCACAACTCCCCCCGCCGAAGCACCTCACCCCACCCCCGTCCTCGGGGCCTCCGCCACAGTCACCAGTGCCGACGGGCTTTAATGACGCTGGTCCGGCTCCCGCCTCGTTGCCTTCCATGATTTCCCCGCTTCCCAACCCTCTCTCTTATCCCGGTTACCCCCCAACTCTTGCCTCTGTCCTTTCCCCTGTGACCTTATCTTCCCCTTCCAAGTGTCCTGCCCCCGCCTTCGACACCTCTCCTAACCCCCTACCCTCTCCTTCTCCTTTGCTTCCGCCACCGTCACCCCACCCACTCTGCTCCCTTCTCTCTCTTCCTCCCCTCCACCTTATCCTCATCCTTCCCCCTTGCCGAGCCCACCCTCACGTACCCCACCTCGAGCCCCCCGCCCTCACCTCAGTCTCCACCTTGCCTCATCCGTACTTTCCCTCTTAATTCCCTTTTGCCTCCTCGATCCCCTCCAGCCCAGTTGATCTTCTGTCTCTCCCTTGATCCTCTCCCCGACCCGCCCCTCTCTACGCTTCCCTCTATTGTGGTTGTCTCGTCAAACTCTAAACCCTTGCATGGCTTGCCGCCTATTCCCTTCGCTTCTCCTCTTGAGCTTCCCCTTCACCCTCCTTTTTGATTGTGCCTATCCCTCCTCCCCCCCACACTCTCCCCCTCTTGTCCTCCCTTCTTGTGCTTCTCCATCTCCTTCTCTGAAATCAATGGCCCGCCCACACCATGGTCGACGGCCGTCTCGTCGGGACCTCTCCCCGCCATCTTTTCTCCGATCTCCGGCTCCCCCCCCCCACGTCTCTGCTCGCTCCCCTCCACTGAACGAGTCCTCCTCGTGGCCTTCCACCCACAACATCTTCTCGTTGGTTGGTCAGTTTCTTTCAAGTACGCTCACTCTGTTTCTTATCACCTTCCTTTCTCCCTTCCAGTGGCTCATCCCTCCCCCCCTTTGGTGGCACCCCAACCTCACCAAACCGTCTGCCGACCTACCTCCTTATGGTTTTCCCTCATCCTTCTTCTCCCCCCACCTCTCGCTCCTATCCCTTTCCCTCCATCTACTCTCCTGCATCCATTCTCCTACCCCATTATTGATCGCCCTGTCTCGATCCCTACATTGGGACAGGTGCCCCCCCCCCCAACGTCCCCACCCCCTCCGCCCTTTCTGCCTCCTTCTGCTAACCCCATTCTTCTTCGCCCGTCGCCAGCTACCACCCCCTCCTCTCTTGTTTCCCCTCCCTCCTAGAGAAGTTAACATTTGGTCTCCTCTCTCCTCTCTCGGGTCGAGTAGCTTCGGTTCATCACCCTAGCCCCTCTCTCAAGGGGGTCCAGTTTATGCTTGCGAGTGGACAAGGCACAAAGTGATATTGATAATGTCATGGGCAACATTGTTTCAAGTTTGACGGTTCTCCGGAGGATGTCGAAGCATTCTTCAAGTCTAACCCTGAAGCGAGGTTCAAAGTAAGTTCCTCTGTCTCTGTAGATGCATCTTCGTCTAGACAGTCTTCTAGACATTCTCGCTCCCTTCCTCGACCATGAAGATCCTTGTTTAGAATATCAGGGGGCTAGGATCCTACCGCAAATCCTTGGTGGTCCGTTCCCACTGTCTCAAACACTCCCCCCTCATCTTGGCTTTGATCGAAACTAAGCTCCCCTCACCATCCCTCTCCCAAGTACGACAGGTTTAGGGTCGCCGACCCTGCCAGTGGGTGGCCCTGGATGACCATGGGGCATGGGCATCCGATGGCATATGGCTTATTTGGGGCTCCTCAACTTTCGCTCTCATTCATTCCTGGAGCGCTTCTCATTCTGTCTCTGATCATCTCCAACGCACTTCGAACAACTTAGACTGCAAGTTCTTAGCTGTGTACGATACTAACTCCAATCAGGAGATCTTGTGGCAAGAATCAGACGCCATCACCACTCACCCACCATTCTGGTGGTGCATCGAAGGCAATTTCAATGTCACTAGATGGCGCCACAAACAGAACTCTTCTTTCATTATCACCCCGGCGATGCTCCAATTCGCAGATTTCATCACACGCCATGGGCTGGACATCCCTCTCTTAGGGACTCAATTTATGTGGTCAACCTCTACTTCTCAGTCTAAGCTAGATCACTTTCTCTTCTTTCAGGAGTGGGACAACTCTTTTCTTGGGACGACGTGCTCTGCTCTGCCTCAAACTACATTGGACCACAAGCCCATCATCCTTGACACCATGCCAATCTCCCAGGGTCCCAGACCCTTCCACTTCGAACTCTAGTGGATGGAAGAGGACAATTTTCCTCCAAGCTTAGGGAGTGGTGATCCTCCTTCTCACCTCTAGTGATACGATGGGCGGGTTTTAGACTTCAGAAGAAGCTTGCACTCTTGAAAGGTTCCCTTAAAGCTTGGAGCTCGCAGCTGCCAAGCAAATTCATCCATTCCAAAGAATGGCTTCTCGAGTCAATCCTCTATCTCAACAATCTCGAGGAGTCCCACCCCCTCTCGGACAAGGAAATTCTTTCTCGCCATAACCTACAGGCAGACTTCTCGGCCCTTCTCAAGAAGGAAGAAATTTTTTGGGCTCAATGCTTTAGAGTCATTTGGCTCAAGGGTGGGGATCTCAATACCGCATACTGCCACAAGATCGCGAACTGTAAGTGTCAGGAAAACACTATTTCGCTCATCATCCATGACGAGCAGCCCATTGTCGATCCCCCCGCCATCTCTGCCTTGATCACAGACTATTTCTCTTTGCTCTTCTCTGAGACGTCATGGTCAAACCACCCATGACGAACCTCTCTTTTCGGTCTCTTTCTCTGGAGCAAGCCTCATGGCTGGAAAGGCCCTTTTCGGAACCGGAAATCCTTAAAGCAATCAAAGACTTGGGTCAAGATAGGGCCCCAGGCCCGGATGGATTTCCGGTTGCCTTGTTTCCCCACGACTGGGATATTCTCAGGCTGGACATCCTGGCCTTTTTCTCTGAATTTACAAGCGTGGTATCATACACAAAAGGATGAATGCCACTTTCATCGCCTTAATTCCTAAGGTTGAAGGAGCGATGGAACTCAAGGACTTTAGACCATTAGCCTCATCAATTCCTCCTACACGATCCTGGCTACGGTGCTGGACACCAGACTCAAAGCGGTGCTCAGCTCTATCATCTCTCATAATCAAAGCGCCTTCGTTCAAGATCCCCAGATCCTAGACGAAGCCCTTATAGTTCATGAGTGCATACACTCTAGGATGGCTGTCAAAGCTTCTGGTCAGATTATCAAATTAGATTGGGAGAAAGCCTATGACCACGTCAACTGGGAGCTCCTAGATGAAACCAAAAGGAGAATGGGATTCCGCGGCAGGTGGCGCAAATGGATAAGGAGCTGCATTCGCAACCCCTTCTTTTCAATCCTCATCAACAGATCCCCACATAGGTTCTTCCATTCTCATAGAGGTCTGAGGCAAGGGGACCCACTATCTCCCTTTCTCTTTTCAATTATCGTTGAAGTCTTTACTAAGGCCACCGACGGATTGTACCAGGCTGGTCTAGCTATGGGCTTCTTTATAGCCCCCCAGTGTCCACCTATCACGCACCTGCAATATGCTGACGACACCCTCCTATTCTGCGAAGCATGTCCTGCCCAAGTCAACATGTTGCTTCTCTTTTCGCAATTTTAAATTTCATGGCTAGGGATTTAGTAGTAGTGGCAATAGTTGGTAGACATGAGAATTGGGATTTAGTAGTAGTGGCAATAGTTGGTAGACATGAGAATTGGGATTTAGTAGTAGTGGCAATAGTTGGTAGACATGAGAATTGGACTCAGTTTGGCAAGCCATTGGTCAAGTCCATCCGGAACTCAAGCACTTCAAGGACAAGTCATGAAGGGCATAACAAATCATGTTGGTATCTTTATACAATATCAATAAACTTATGAAAATGTGGATAATTGAAGAAAAGGAACATTCCTAAATATAGTAAAAATTTCAAAAAAAATAAGCAAATTTAGAGAGCGAGAGAGAGAGAGCATTTTTTTAAAACATCCAAGTCCCATGACTTGGGCAAGATGGATGAGTCAACCAAATGACATCAAATGCTTTATATGACTACGTCTACACAAAAAACAAAACCAAAATGTTTTCCACCAAAGTCAGTAGATTGGTTAGGGTATCTTCTCTTTGCTTGGGTAGGGAATCTTTGACTGCACTAGAGGGGAAAGGAATTGGCTTAGTAGGGCTCAAATAAAAAATACTAGCACCAGGTTACCTCAAAGTGTATTGTGACCCAATTTCACAGCAAGCCAAGTTAAACAAGATCAAGTCTACAGGTAATTCTTAATACAATGTTATCACCTAATTACAAGTATTGCATGCACGAAAAAAATGTCTAATGTTCATAGGTAGCAAAAGAAGCAGACATCTATTTAAATAAACAAATATGCTGTAAATTTGTAAGGTTTGTAATTCACAAGCAGGTCACTCAAAAATAAATTTTATGCATATCCAAGATTGTGTAATCATGGAAAGGAAATAACACAGGTATATAGCTTCTTATAGAGAATAGTCTATATGCTAAAAAATATAATAGCAAAATGTGAGATGACTGCTTTATATATAAGAAAAAGAGAAAGGCGGGATATGACATTTTTTCAAAATTGTATAAAACAGAATGTTTATTAAATATTTAACAGAATCAGACATACCTATCTCTTCTTTGGCTCATGGCCGGGGTGATGGAGATGTATCTGTGTTCAAGAAGAGAAGGAAGAACAGATTCGATGTAATCAAAGGGGCCTTTGCGTTTGCTGCAATCAACTCTTACAGGTTCTTTAGAGGCCAATTCATCTGGCACCACTTTCAAAACATTTATGAATCCTCTCATTTGTTGAATAAAGTAATCCACATCAAATACATCTGCAAAACCACTGAACAGAAAAGCAAATCAAAATCTTGTAACATTTCCATAATCAACAAAAGCTGCATACAAGCAAATCACATTTTTTGAAACTTATATAAATGAATCACATGTCACAGTTGAAAACATAGATCCAATAAACAAATGTTCATCTGTTTAGTCTGCAATTCACAATACCTTGTCTCGTTCCAGTAGGCGGCCGCCTCAAATTTTGGCAGGACTATGGTTGCATTAAGTAAACGGGCTATACCAACACCATCACAAAACTGAAACCAAACGATATTATCAAGGAACGATGTTACATACATATATACAGAGAGAAGAAAGGTCGGGGGTAGGGGAGTGGGGTGGTTAGAACATGCAACAATTGCAACAGTCTTTACTTATCAAACAAAAACGAAACAAGATCTGGGTTTGTGCATAAATGGAACCATGTTGACTATAAAAAGAAAATGGAGATTTCATATAAATCACTTTAAATGTCTTTGAACAAACGTATTTCATAATTCAGATTTGGGTATCTCATTCCCTTTGGGGCTCTTTAATTCTTTCTTCATTATGTAACTAACAAAGAAATAAAAATACACGCATGGATGCATACTTGCATACTCAAGTATGTACGCAAGTATGTATACATACCTTCACGTGGACATACCTATGCATATACTTACATATATACATAAATACATACTTACGTATATCTGTACATAAAGTGACTTTAACAATAAGTGCCTTCAAGCAATTTTCCCTGGTTCTCTCACCTTGCAACAGAAACTGAGGTCCTGGTCTCAAACACAGTGGAAATCCAGGTGCAAGCTATTTGGGCACGAGAATTCCGGACAACCTCAACAACAAAGAAACCAAAGAGTTCTAAACTATTCTTAATTCCTCAACTGATACCAAAGACCACCCTTCCGAGGAAATAATAACAGTGTCTGGAATCCGGCAAGCTCAGGTATCTTTCAATTGCATCCTTATAAAAAGCCATCACCTCTAATACTTTTAGCCCTGTAATGCTTGCTGAGTATGGCCTCTAGACCAATCCAGCCCAAGGCTCAAACTTTAAGTTGATTGGTTGCCCTAAATTAAAGCATTTAACTAACCATTTGCAGCATCGAGAAACGTAAACTCCTAACTAATGCATTATGTGCATGGAGGGGTAGGAATCAAAAAGTCACATCTTCCTACACTGCAACATAGTAATAAAACTATGGTCAGAGTTTCTCCAACTGTTCAATGTCATCCGGGGCATTCCCACAGTCTTTTAACAATCTGCTGCAATACCATTTTCCCCCCTGCCTACCAAAAATGGGCAGCTATTATGGTCGATCAGCATTGTAGGGATCATCTGGACTATCAGGTTAGAAGAAATGCTTGAACTTTTAAAGGCAAATTCTCAAGGCCCATACCCTGATTGACCAAATCAGAACCCTTTTCATAACCTGGGCACTCACTAGAAAAGAGTTCAACCCAGCCTCAGCTTTTAATTATACGTGGAAAAAAATGATGATAAGAAAAAAGGTCAGTGGGAAAACATTAACCATTTCCTACCTCAGGAAAATTACAAAATCCTCGCATTGGATAACCCCTCCAAGAGGCATCACCAAGCGGAACTTGGAAGGGAATTCAAAGGGAAACCTAGGCCCAGCTGGTCTCGGAGATCATCAGGGGCAGACTCTGCTGTCATACTCAGGACCAGCTGGACTTTGTGACTCCACACGAGCTGAAAAGCAAGGCTGGCAGGTCAGACCACAACACTTTCATAGAACTTGGGGAACCAATCTAATTATTATGAGAGATTTAGGGAACTGATTACATGGGCAAAAAAAGCATCTTCTTGCCCTTGGCAACTAGATCGAAGGTTTCGCTGAATTCATTAGTTTTTCCATGGTTTAAGTGTCACCTTCAGGTACGCTAGGGGATAAGCAAAAGTAGAGACAGACTCCTTAGCTAAAGGGATTGAGCTCCCTACCACTTGCATCAAATGTCCAAGAATACATTCCCAAGCCCCTATACCAATTCCATGACATCCCAACATCGAAAAATTTTGTAACAGAGTAACATTTTTTCTCTAGGAATCTTTTGTAAGTGAAATATTTGTAAAGCCATTTTCCAGGGATCTCATACACATATCTTGTAAGGTTACTCAATAAATGAATCTGTTAATTCCCAAAAGAGAGAGAGAGAGAGAGAGAGAGAGAGAGAGAATTCAATAACTCCTTTCATTACTACTGGTGAATCATCAACATACATAACACTAGAGCCAACTGTAGAAGCAGTTCCTCCATTAAATTGTCTGATATAAAGACACAACATCAGGCATGGAACTCAAAGAGGAAAGAAAAACCTAACTACCTAAGACAAAAGAATTTATATTCCCTTTCTGTACAGCTCACATGTGGATGTCAGCTCAACATGCAATATCCTGAGTACAGCACACACATCTGGCACATGAATGGTTTTCTATTCTAGTCCTAATTGGTTATCTTACTGATACTAACACGATATTAGATTTTGCATATTGTGGAAGCTTTGCTACAAAAAAGGGTCATGAAATATAAAATTTTAAGTCAAAATTGGAGCACCAAGCCCAGAGCCCCATTCCCCACATTAACAAAATTGTTGCTGAGATCACAACTGGATTTTCAAATTCCACTTACATGATAAAGTATGATGACTGGGTAATTAGTAATGGAAAGTGTTTTGTCATTGCTGGTTTATGAACATGAAGCATCCAATGAAGTCAACCTCAACAAAGGTTCATTGACCAAAGGAACATGGGGCTGTCTTCAAGGGATTTATTCATAATCAAACCATAGCTAACTCTTCAAAGTTCAAAGGACTTATTCATGACCAAAGTACCAAGCAGTACTCAACTTCACGCTCTAGAATACGTGTAGAGGGTCTTAGGGTTAACAAGCAATAGCATACGTCATTCAGAAGTCAGAACTCCTCATTAACCACTTCTAGTTTTCTATGAGTGCAATAAACAGTCCTTATAAATCCTCAAACTCCTAGTGACAAATCAATATTAGGAGAAGTCAGTTTGTTTTAACACCTCGTGGCCTTTTATCCAGAGTTTGAACAAAGTAGGTCGCTATTCTTTGTAAAAAAAAATGACCACCCAGGATTCAAGATTATCTTAATGAAGCTTATCATGGAATAGAATCGTATTAATTCCTTGCCTCCCTAAATTCCATATGAACCAAAGACGTTTGATCTTGTCCGCTTTACTAGTTTCAACTGTGTCAGAATATTCTTGGACCATTGAGAATGGAGCTTAATGACACCATCAAGTTTCTAATCATAACATATGCCAAAAGTTTTGCGATGAAAACTTATCTTTGCCCCATTGTCCCTTTCCTATGCTGCCAGCAATTTTTTCACCAAGACTCAAACAATTGCTTGACACCAGTTCCTTCTCAACAAACTTTGGATAGTTACCATGATGCCCCATCACTCCACAAAGTGCAAATTGTGGTATTATCATATTCTTGTTCATAAAATGATCTTTTCTTTCTAAGGGCTTTTTAGCCATTTGGCTCATTGCAAATACAGTAATCCTTTATCAATAGAAGTGGATGCAGGCATTTGTGATTAATGTAGTTTCATGGACAAACAAAAACTAAAAACAAAGTGACAGAAAGTTCTGATAACTTTCTCATTTCTCACTTGTGTACTTCTAACTTACAAACCATAAACTACAGGAACGGAATGTCGCCGCATTACCAAAACACGAATACAAAGATAATGCAAATCAAACAAGAGTCACAAAATCACAGAAAATGGTTCACAAAAATAAACAAAAGAAAAAAAGAAAAAAGAGAGAGAGAGGGAGAGAAGCTAGAAAGAGGGGGCAAAGCACATTGGTTAACAATGCGATTCTAGTGCAAACACAAATTTGAAAAACAAAACAGGCAAAACCAGAGAACTTACATCACGCCTCATCTGGTTGAGACCACCATAGCAATCCACTCGAATGTAGCCATTTGTCCTCTCAGGAAGAGCTGCACCAATTCAACAAAAAGCAATGGAATTTGTCGGGAAATGAAGCCACATTCTTAACTTCTGCAAAAATCAAAGTGAAGGAATTCAGGTAAAAAAAAAAATCCTAATAGCTAGAATGAATGACCTAACCATTCTTAGAGAGGAAAGAAAAGGGATGGCTATAATCACCTAATAGATATTGATCTTTCCACCAATCACATGGCCTCCACTCTGAAAGGCGAGGCACACTCCATATCTCTGATTTCCCCATCCATTCCATTGGAGAAAAAATCCTGTAAAAATGAACCCACTTTATTTATTTATCTTCCGCCAGAGAGTGAGCGATTTATAAACCCCCATTATTTGAGAGATCGAGAGAGAGAGAGAATTATACACCAACAGATAGATAGAGAGAGAGATAGAAATCGACAAGCCATCAGAAAAACTTTTTCTTTTTTTTCTTGAGAGAGAGAAAGATTTATACATACCGTCGGGGAGTGGGAAGAAGGTATCTCTGTGAAATTGATGCACCAGCGGACAGAAAAATAACCAACAAGACCAGTGGAAAAACTATGAGAACAGCACTGAACACTGGCTTGGAGTAGAAGAAGGTCATGGCCTTATGAAACCTCTTCGCTTCCATTGCTCTAGCACTTAGTAGAGGCAGCCATTCCAAGTTTTAGTGCGAGAAACCCTAGAATTTGATCCCTACTAACAAATATTTTCGATCACTACGGCAAGAGAGAGCGAAATGGATCTCCAGGGGTAAGGATAGCACGTTGCCACATTTAAAGTAGCGGATCAATCTGAAAAAGTTTCTGGATCAGTTTCTAGAGAAGGATTTGAGAAATTGAGAGAAAGGTTTTATTGATAATTTTAGGGAAATTATCCAGTATAAATGAGTCACATGTTAAAAATCTATTTTTTAGATGGATTAAATAGGTTAAAAAAAAAATTGAAAATTAGATATAGCAATTCTATTAAAAAACATTTAGGTAGTTTAGTTTTAATTGTTTTTAGATGGACCACCTATTTGCATCCATTTTTAAAATGGATGCTTTATACATTGGGAATACATATTGTAGAAATGCGGTCCCACCGGCATGGAGCAATTTTTTTTATTAAAAAATATGCATTAATTTTTGGGTTATTGGAAATAAGACACGGTTTTTATGCGGTTAAGCCGCATATTGTAGAAATACGGGCTTGGCAATAAATATATATTTTAAATATAATTTGATCCTTGTTTTTAAAGAATATATAATCTTTAACATGAAGTTCATGAATATGCAAAAAAAGAAAAAAAATTAAAATTTAAAATAATAATTATATTGAAAAAACATTTAGATGGACCACCTATTTGCATCCATCTGATGGATGTTTTATACTTTTGGACTGCATAATGTAGAAATGCGGTCCAACCACATGAACCAATTTTTCTTGGAAATATACCTCAAACATTCAAAAACATCATCAATATCCTTTCTTTTAAGATGAGTAAAGGGGTTGTAAGTCAAATATAGTTTTGAAGCATCACGGTATTTAAAGAACCATGATGGTTTATTGGACAATCACGATCTTAATTTAACCGTTATACTCTTATCTAAGCATCACGGCTTTTTAAGTGTCATAATGCCTTAATGACCATCATGGCTTTTTGAGTGTCGTGAAGCCACCATCACGGCTATTTAAAGGTCATGATGCCTGAAAACATTAAACCACCATGACCATCATGATAATGAGTCTAGTGTGATTTCTTCATGGTTTTAAGACAATCGTGAATGATATTTTGATCAAAAAATGTAAAAAATGACAAAAATGAGTATGGATGATGTTTTAGAAAATTTGTAGTTTATTTCCAATAATACAAAAATCAATGTATGTTTTTTATAATTTCTCATAATTTTAGATAGCAAAAGTCAGTTTATTGTTAAAAGGAAAACAAAAATAAACCGCAAATCTCTTTCAAGAAAATATTTACATAAGGTGTCAACCTTACAATGTAGAAGCAAGGTGCACTTCAAAAATTCATCGAATAATACCCTTTAATGATAAAAAATCCATTAATCGATCATTTCCATGTCAAGGCGTATAGATATAAAAATAAATAAAAAGATTTTAAGTCTAAAAAATAGTGCATCTTGCAATAAATATCTAGATAATCTATTTTAAAGATTTTCATGTGTTTATAGATCTATTTTATTCGAACTATTTTGAAGCTTAAAAGTTTATAATTAGAGATAAAAATAGGCTTTTAAACTATTTTAAGAATTTTTGGCACCAAATTATCTTATGACAAAGTTTGGAGGTGAGCCATGCTTCGATAGTTTAGGTTGCAAACCACACCATCTTGTTATCATTTGGAGAAATTAGATATCATGACTTTTATTTTGGGGTAAGAAAGAATCTTCCTTGGTCATGAATGCTCCTTATTTGAAAGAAAAATGTTGAGATTAACCCACTAGCTCATATGAACATATGAGCTCAATGGCTGATATGACGGTTATGACATCATTTTCGTGTTTGAATCTAAATTTTTATTTTCATGAATCTAAATAACTTAAAAGTTTAGGCGTTCATTCTTCTCATCAAGACACACATAATAAAAATATTTTTAAAAATAATTTACAAAAAATAAATTGACCAAATTTCTCCGAAACGTTTTAAGGGTATTTTGATCAATTTATTTATTAAAAATTATTTTTTTGATATTTTTATTAGATTCTCCCATTTTTTGAATAATACACATCTAAAATTTTAAATTATTTGGATTCGTATAAAAAAATTAAAATTAAAATACGAAATGAAGTCGTGACTGTCAGATCGGCTCATATTCAATCTAGGCCGTTGGGTATTCATATGAGCCAGTGGGCTAATCTCAGCATTTTCCCATTTGAAAAATACCACCATTGCAATTGTAGTTGAGGATTGGGGCTAGCCTAGACCTAGCCCAAACTTAGGGCTGGTAGACCTAGGCTTGACCCAAGCTGGTAACAAGTCGGTTCTCTAGGTAATAAAAAATTAGGATATGGGTCATAAAATATAGTCTCAGCCTCATGGCTAGGCGGGGACTAGGCTGCATTAGAGCCAACCTAGTTCGGCCTAACCCAACTCTTTTCTCTTTGTTTGTTTCCCTTTTTCTTTTATTTTGCCTTTGACTGTGTTTGGTCCAACCCAACCCTAATAAGGCTAAGGCTGACCTAACGCGTTGTCAGTCATACCAACCCTTGCCCTGCCCTTGTTCGGGCTAGGTTAGGCCTAATAGATTTAAAAGAAAAGAAAAAAAATATATATATATGCCTGCCCCAGTTTGGATTGCGCCAATCTTGCTGTGGATCGGACTGGTCTTGCTGTGGCCATAGACCACGTCTACTCTGGCCTGGTCCTCACTTGGCCCTTAGGTTGCATTTTGTGGCCCAAACCCCAGTTTTCTAGGCTGGAACGCCCATCTTATGGCCAGTCTTATTTAGATCTAATATTTTGGAAGTCCATAATCTCAATCACTTTTATGAATTTTAAATAGTCTCTCAAAATATTAATTTTAAATCTTGAGAAATTTGTTAAACTATAATTTACATTTGAACTATTTAACATCACACTCATGTTTGTCTATCTAATTTCAATTAACACACTATTGGTTTGACAAAAATTCACATAGCAAATCACATGAAACATCAAAATGAGTTTTTAAAATTATAGTTATACCTTACGTAAAGTGTTAAATAGTCCAACGTTTACATGTGTGAAACATCAAAATGAGTTTTTAAAATTATAGTTATACCTTACGTAAAGTTTTAAATAGTCCAACTTTTACATGTATTTTGATAAATTCCTCTTAAATTTTATCACTCGAACTATACTATTTTCCGAGTTACATATTAAGGAATGTAACATACAAAACTTCTCCATTCTAGTTTTAGTCAAAATTTTGGTAAAAATTTTTCACTTGTAATAAAGGACTTCTCAGGACCCCAAATTTTGGAGAGGCATCTCAATAAAGCTACCAATGAAAAAAAACAAAAAAGGAAAAAATTCTAACTCACATAAAAAATAGCCTCCTAAGATTGAAGAGAGACTATTCTTTTAGGTCTGAGATGTTTCTATAAAGCCTAGGCTTTAGGAAAATAAAATAAAGCGTCCCCTCAAATCCTTGTTTAGAAAGCACTTTTGGCAAAAGAAATCTCCATAATGCCATTATGGCTCTAAAATCAATTTTCAACACTAACAATAAAATTTGAAATTAAAAAATAGTATAGATCTTGCGGATCTGTGAAATGGATAATCTAGATAATTTGTTATACTATATACTATTTTTAGAGCCTGAAATCCTTTTTTTTTTCCTACAATCATAACGTTCAGGTCGAGATGATTGATGTAAAGGTTTTTCAATACTTGAATTGTAATTTTGGATGAGTTATGAGGTGACGCTTTACTTACTATAATAGCAACCCTATCAAACCATTTTCTTTCTTTTAGATAGACCTAGGTGTTTGTGATCCATAATCTCAATTCTTTATTATTATTAATTTTTTAAAAATTATTTTGATAGGTAAAGCCTCACATCAAAACCCACCGAAAATTATAATTATGACATTGGAAATCCCTCAAGTTAATAATCGTAGTCTTGATCATTGTGGTTGTGACAATAAATTAGGATTTGAAGCCTCAAAAATAATGTATATTATAGCAAATTATCTAGGCCGACCCCAATTAATTGGGAAAATACTATGATCAAGATGATGATGATAATACATTATCTAGACCATCTATTTTGCCCTAAAAATGAGTATTCATTGATCTGAAGATTTGTACCATTTTTTGAACTTCAAAATTCATAATCAATGTTGGAAATTGATTTTAGAGCCATCATAGAAATTTATGATACCCAAAGTGCTTTTGAAACGAGGATTCGAGGTGAGCCTTTACTTTGTTTTTATAAAGCCTAGGCTAACATCCTTTTTGAAATGGATCATCCTCTAACTCTTTTGCCCAAGGGGGCAACTATACTAGATGTTTCCGCAGGGGCATGCTTATATATCGTCCAAAACCATTTTCATTCACTTAAACGTTAGAACCTCATTTTGGATGAACGAGTTGAAAAAATCGAACTGAAACAGTTAACCGGCCATGGGTCGGACAAACACAAGGGTATTAACTATTGGGATTGTATACAAAGAGACTATTTACGTTTGATACAAGGTGATCACAATTCCTTACAACCATTCGATGTGAAATTTAATAGTTTGAATGTGTTGCAAAGTTCGAGAATTTTTTTTTTGAAGTTTGAATTTGGTCAATGTAATTAATAATTACAGCCACCCAATTTTACATCCAATGGTCAAAATTGATGTGACCACTTTCTACCGAAGGTACATGGTCTCATTCTATATTTTCCCTTTAACTATTATTATTATTTTCTAGGGAAAATTGCATAAAACCCCCGAAAATGGACTTTCTAAACAATTTACCCCCAACCTAACTTTTCATAACAACTATTTCCGCAAAACCATGTTTCTTAGCAAATACCCCCAACTAAAAAAAAAAGAGCCTAAAAAACCCCTCCCTTACGTTACACGTTGACCATGGAGTTCGATACTTCACTATGGCGGTCCGGCGTTTGGAAGAAGCGGTTCGACACTTCACCATGTGCGGTCTGGCACTTCATCATGGCGGTCCGGCATTTGTTTTTGGATTAATGAGCGGTCCACAATTTGTGAGCTATGGTCCGACAAAATTAAAAATTGTGTCAGGAATAGGAGGCCCGACAGTATACAGTTCCAGTGCGGTAGAATGGATGGGTCCGGAAATATACAACCGAAGTATGGCGTTCTTTTTATTATGTATGGGAAGAATATTTTCATCAAAAAGAAATAAGGGAAAATTGCATAGAACCCCCAAAAGTAGACTTTTTAGGCACTTTACCCCACCCTAATTTTTCTTAGCATATTTTCCCCAAAACTCAAGTTTTATAGTAAATATCCCCAATACAAAAAGTTTATTTATTTATGGATGAAAATACCCTTCCCGTACATAACAAATCATTTTTGGATCCAAATAAAAGGAAACGCTGAACAGCGGTTGTATATTGTCGGACCCATCCATTCTGCCAGACCGGAATTGTGCATTGCCGGGCCGCCTATTCCAAACACAAATAAATGCTGGACGGCATTTGTAAAACACTGGAATGACCTCTTCCAAACGCCGGACCACCATGGTGAAGTGCCGGACCGTTATCAAATCAATGACTTAAGTGCCCAAAAGCGGACTGTCATAGGGAAGTGCCGGACCTTATTTTAGGCTCATTTTTTTTTTTTTTCCAAACAATGGGTATTTTAGCCTTCTTTTTTTTTCTAAGTTGGGGGGTATTTGCTAGAAACATGATTTTGGGGAAAAAGTTGCTAGAAAAAGTTAAGTTGGGGGTAAAATTCCTAGAAAGTCTATTTCTGGGGGTTTTATGCAATTTTTCCCCAAAAAAATGAATTTTTTATATTGGGGAGGTATTTCAGTGGGGCAAGTTTTTTATGTTTCCCCTACAACATAAAACTTATATACTTCCCCTTATCCAACTGTCTATATTGAATGGAGGGTTAAGATTGCCCCAATCACAATGTCACATCTCTACACTATTTTATTTTTAATTTTTTTTCTATAAAATATTTTGACACCAAAATTGGATGTCCAATCCTCAATTAAACTTGCACTAGCGAAAAAATATAATTTTTTTTCAATAAATAAAATGACAAAAATACCTTTGAAACTTTTAAGGGTTATTTTGATCATTATATTTTATTGAAAATTATTTTTAATATTTTTATAAGTGCACCCCAATGGGAAGATGACACATACCAAATTTTATATTAATACAATTTGTATAAAAAAACTAAAAATAAAATACTTTAAGACGTTGAATCTAAGATCAAATGATGAATAGCTCTCTAGATCAAAATTGAACGGCTGGATGGTAGGAGAGATCTTCTGTGCTTAATGGAAAGTACATAAACCTTTCCATTTGGGTGGGGTATAGTGCCTAAAAAATCTATTTTTTTTGGGTTTTATGGAATTTTCTTATTTTCTATGTGAAAAGGCACAACGGTTACCGACTTTCCAAATTTGTAAACTGGCTCCTCTTAAGAACAAAGGCCAGTAAATAAGAAAAATAAATAAATAAGTTAGATTATAGTTTTTTTTTTTTTATGCCAGCCAATTTATCGTCAAGTGATCGAACGGTTTATTCAAAATTTCAAAATGGCTCAATATGGTTATTTACTTAATTTGTATCACAAATTTTGCCTCTTTTCCAGTACCCTGAGAGCAAAAACCAGAATTTCGATCATAAAAACTCTTGTTACATAACAAAATTCTCCCTTTAGTATTCTTCCAATTCAGAAAACCATGCAATTCAATGGACCTTCTCTGAAAAAATTCTCTTTTTCCCCCTTTTTTAGCCAGCAAAAAAG